GAGAGAGAGAGAGAGAGAGAGAGAATCCCAAGCTGGTTCCCTGCCACCAGCTCAGAGCCTTATACTGGACTTGAATTCATGAACCACGAGATCATGACCTGAGCCCAAGTCAGGAGTCAGACGCTTAACTAGGCACCCCCATAAAGGCCTTTAAGAAACATATTGTAGCCCCGGCATCCCCTCACCCTACCCGCCTTCCTCCCAATTCTGACCCAGTTGGCCCGGGTCGGGACCTGTCCTTAAGAGCCTAAGAGCTCTCCAGGTGATTCCATTTTTTAACCAGGGTTGAAAATGTAAGTGTGTGGGATTTGTGCAAAGGCCCTCGGTACCCAGACGGACTCCACACCACTACATACGCACTCATTCATGTTGACTGAAGTTTGCGTTTACTGAGTACCAACTGTATACATTTGGCCAGGAAGGGGATCGTCACGGTAGCTCTGTGGCTCCTGCCTGCACTGGTGATAACTACTTTCAGGATAGCAGGGGACAGCCCTGAGTATCCAGCAACCCTAGCCTTACCCCAGAGTTAGGAGGTGTCTCTCTAGAAGGGATCCGATATTCAGCTTCCTCCCTACCACCCTTCCACACTAGGCCTGTTCTGGTCACATGCCTGTCTCCTACTACAGATTTGGGTCCCACCCTCTGTGATTTTTAATCCTCCGTCTCGTCCCCTCCTGTCTTCTTGGACTCCTTAATCTTCTTTTTCCGTGTCGTGTCTGGAATTTTGAATCCCGTTGCCCTATGTGATTCCTTATCACATCCTTCAACATGCAAGGAGCCACATGCCCCCCAAGACAGCAGCAGCAGTGACCATGACAGCAGGATGGTTTGACCTGCAGAATTCTTTGACCTGAACGCTAGTGAAGTCAGTCCCCAAACACATGGTTGCTCTGCCTGCTCCACGGAACCTCTCCAGAGCTCTGATCCTGCTTAGCGTGGCCTCGGACCTCTCCCACTTCTCTGGTCCCGGGCGGCCCACTGGAGCGGACCCCGGCTGCCAGGGGAGCTCCCGATCGGCATGTGAGTCCTTGCTCCCCTTGTGTGAACATGACCCCAAGCCCGCCCTTGCCAGCCTGTCCCCAGGCCACGTGGGTGTCGGCCCTGCCTGTGCCCACCGGCCGGCGGGAAGGCTGCGGCTCCTTGGTGTTTGTGGGCACTGAGTGCTAGGAGGTGAATCACGGCTTGCCTGGTTACTTGGCTTCACTTGAGCAGAGCATGTTGAGCATGTTGGTTGAGGAGCCCTGCTGTGTCCGTGAGCCTTTGGCTTGAGCTGAGCGAGGCTCATCAGAGGTGCTTTTTCCTGGTTTTGCTGCTCTGACAGGGGTTCTAGGAAAAGGGGATGATGGGGTCCATGTATGGAAGAGACGTCGTGTAGAAAAGGGAGATCGTTGTGAGTGTCTCCAGAGGGCGAAGTGAAAAGCAAGGGGCAGAAGGTGCCAGGAGGCTGATTTTGGCTCATCCTAAGGGCAGGAACCTTTTCTGTTGTCACGCTGCCCAGTGGGGGCAGGCTGCCTCAGGAAGGAGTGAGCTGATGAAGGCAGACAGAGAGACAGGGTTGGGGGTGGGGCTGGGGGGGGCTGCTAGCATGACAGTAATAGCTGACATTAAATGACATTGCCCATGAGAGAGGCAGAACAGCACAGCGGTTAGAGCATAGCCTCTGGTGTTTAACTGGGACGGTGACCATGGGCACGTTTTATAACCTCTCTATGCCTCAGCTTCCTCATCTGCAAAGTGGGGATAGTGATATTGTCTACCTCATAGGGTTTTAGTGAGGATCAAATAAGTTACTACATGGGAAGTGCTTAGTAAAGTGGGATGCGTAGCAAGGGCAGACATTCTAGCACTTTGCCCATATTAACTCCTATCCTCTGCCCAGCGGCCTTAGCGGTAGGCCCTGCCGTTATCCCCATATGCTGGGTGAGGGGATCAAGAAGTAAGTAGCACAGAAAGCCGCTGAGCCGGGATTGAGCCCTGGGCAGTCTGGCTCCTGCCTGCTTCGAGATTCCGGCTCGGGGCTGTGCAGAGGCCGTTCCCACAGGTACCTGGGGCGGCAGCTGGGCAGCCGGGCCTCAGAAAGGCCTGAGTCCTGCCAGGGATCCTCGACACAGCTGTGGCTGGGGCGGTCCTGTCTGGTCCTGTCAGGAGCAGGAACAATGGGAGCGGTGTTTCTCTGCGCCCGCGTCGGGGCGAGGGAGGGCCAGGCGCTCAGGTCCCAGCAACATCCCTGGCTCCCGGGCCTGGCTCTGAACGGAACAGATTGTTTTGCTGTGTCACAGCCAGCTCTGGGTGTGCCAGCTGGCCTCCCTCGGAGGAGAGGCAGGCCACCTGGACGTGGACCTGCCTCTCTGATCTGTCCGGCTCAGGGCTTCCTCCTGGGCCCTGCCCAGCCAGCATTCGGGGCCTGAGTCTGGCTCAGGTGTGGCGCGGAGCCCTGATCCGTGGTAGCCTCTCCTCTGCAGCGTCGGGCTCAAGGTGGCCGCTGCAGTTACAGAGCCCACGCCTCGTGCCACCCCTGCCCAGGGACACAAGAGAGGCGATTCACTCTGTGACTGGCCCGTGGCTGTGCGCCGCCCGAGCAGCGGGATGAGCTGATTGGCTTTAAGCTACTCAGAGCCCTCCCCTGGCATTTAGGGTGAGGTCAGTGGGAGAGGAATGGGCACCCCAAAGCAAATTTTTGCTCCTTTTGGCTAGGGAAGGGGAACATGGATGCCAGGGAGGTGGCCGGTGACAGGAGTCCCATGGGAAATGGCTGTGTTTCAGCCCCATCGTCTACTCAGCCTTCCCTCAGAGAAGGCATTTACCTGTTCTGACTGAGCTGGGAAATGGAGAGAATGCTCCCCAGCCACCTCCCTTCTCTCAGGGCTTGGAGCCTCCCTAGTGGAGTGATGGAGACAAACACCCTTTAAAAAGCATAGCAAAGGGGCACCTGGGTGGCTCTGTCGGTTGAGCGTCCGACCTCGGCTCAGGTCATGATCTCACGGTTCATGAGTTTGAGCCCCGCGTCAGGCTCTGTGCTGACAGCTCAGAGCCTGGAGCCTGCGTTGGATTCTGTGTCTCCCTCTCTCTCGGCCCCTCCCCTGCTGACACTGTGTCTCTCTCTCTCTCTGTGTCAAAAATAAATAAACATTAAACACATTTTTTAAATAAAAAATAAAAATAAAAAGTATAGCAAAGGGGCGCCTGGGTGGCTCCGTCGGTTAAGCGTCTGACTCTTGATCTCAGCTCGGGTCTTGATCTCAGAGTCGTGGGTTTGAGCCCCATGTTGGGTTCTGTGCTGGGCGTGGAGCGTACTTTAAAAAAGAAAAACAAATAAATAAAAATAAAAAATAAAAGGCAGAGCATAGAGTTTTATAAGAAATGATCATATTCTCATTTCTGTCTGGGGGCCTCCTCGTCATCCCCAGTCTCACCTCCAGGCAGCCTTCCCCGCCTGTCCCTGCTTACCTCCTCTGTCCACCTAGGGATAGGTGTGGGGTCTAGAGGAGTCACCCCTCCCCCACTGCTGTCCCATCAGTCACCATTTAGTCACACGGTTGTGTGTGGTTTTGCCTGCCGGCGGGACCATGAGCTCAGAAGCCCGAGGCGGTGGCTCTGTCTCCCTCCCCTCTGTCTGTCCTATTCCTCACGAGCTGCCCCTGGGGTACCCACGTAGGAAGGACCTGACAGGTGCCACACACTTTTCTCCTGCAGGTTTGAGAAGATGGTGAGTGGCATGTACTTGGGGGAGCTGGTTCGACTGATCCTGGTCAAGATGGCCAAGGAGGGCCTCTTATTTGAAGGACGGATCACCCCGGAGCTGCTCACCAGGGGGAAGTTCAAGACCAGTGATGTGTCAGCCATTGAAAAGTAGGTGCCGCCCCTCAAGGCTTTCTCTTTCCCTTCGCTCCAGCCCCTCCCCATCCCCACCTGCACACACAGGGGAGATTAGAGCCCAGGGAGTAGATGACTCCAGTGGTGAACGAGACGCTCACTGAGCCCGGGGCCTGGGCTTGGGAGCCTCCCTGCACATAGTAGGACCTTCTGTAGACTGTGTTCCAGGGAACCCTGGGGATCTCAAGATAAGGTATTCCATGAAGAATCAGGAATTACTAAATCCTCCATTTAGAGACTTACAGTACTCATTAGCATGGTAAAGAGAGCCCAGTTCACTTTGGCTAACTTATAATTTCCCAAACTTCTTTGATGCCTGAAATGCCCCTCCCACTACTCCCCCCAATTCTCTCACCTGTTAACCGCCAGACATGTTCCCTGGCACAAGTTTGGGAAACATCGATTAACAGCTGAGACAGGGCAGATCGACATGGGAGGAAGGAGTCTAGCCAGAGACCTGACTGCTCCCTTTCGGCCTCAACTTGAGAAACCCGGATTTCTCTGCCTTGACTGTTACTTGCGGGCCTTCACCCTGAGAGGGAAGAGGGTAAACTTGATCCCACAGCCGTTTGATGTGGTTGGGCACCTCCAAGTCTGAAGGACTCCTTTCTTGTGGCCGGCCCCCGTGTGCCACCAGGCTCTATTCCTGGTTCGGAGACATGTAGCCAGGTGAGGCCACCTGCCGAAAGATAGGGCTAGCTTGGTGCTGGAGAAGTCCTTTCATCTCTGTACGAAGCTGTCATTGCCACCGCCCTGCGGTGGTCCTGGAGACTCCGATCGAACCAGTGGCTTCCTAGCTCTGGCTCCTGGGAGGAGATGCCTATGAGCTGTCTGCAGGTAGAGAAGGAGGCTGAGGAGATGGGACGGGGTTTATGTGGACGTACTCCTCTGCCACATCCACGTACGGGCATTTACCTGAGGATCGCTCTCCTTCGGGAACTACCAGGGGAGAGCTGGTGTCAGCGGGGCGCCATGATACTGAGTTCCCAGCCACCTCTCTCCTCCAGCCTCCGCGCTGGCTACTGAGAAGGGCAGGAGGCTCATGGCATGCCCTCAAAGTCATCGACAGAGTCAGGAAATGCCTTCCTTTTGGCCTGCTTCTGGTGTTGGCCCACTGGTTACCACGAAACAAAAGCCCACTTGAGCTAGCTCAGGAAAGCGTGTGTATTGGAATAAAGGCTTTCTCAACAAAACCTAAGCATCCTACCAGGGCAGACAGACGTTCAAAGCATTCTCTTTAAAATCGGGAGTAAGAGAGGATCCCCCGTTTTTATTTAGCATTGTCTGGAGTCGTAGCCAGTGTTGAAAAAGAAAAAAAAAAAAAAAGAAAGAAAGAAAAATTAAAGGCTTGAGAATTAAAAAAAAGAGGAAGTAAAAGTATCATTATTTGCAGATGTTAATTGTGTGTATGGAACACCAACAATATCTAGAGGAGTGAATAGAATAATGAGAGGTAAGGGAATCGTCTGGAGAGGAGATGCCAAAGTCAATTATATTTCTATATATTGGCAATAATTAAAATGTTAAATAACCCTTTTATTTTAGAATAGTTTTAGACTTACAGAAATATTGCAGAGACGGTGCTGAGTGTTTGCCCATATCGCCGCCTGAGTTTCCCCCATATTAACATCTTACGTTACTATGTTACGTTAAAGTGAACAAAAGATATATACACGTGAATTTATGCCATCTACGCCATGTCGTCTGTAATAGTAAAAAAATTACAAAGTACCTCAGAACGAATCTAACAAAAGATAACAAAACGTAGAAAATTAAAACTTGACTGGAAAACCTCAAGGGAGTGTAAGCCTCCCAGGGCAACTCGCAGACCCCAAGCGCCAGCGGTCTCCCTGGGTCTCCTAAGCACTGAGCTCCGGGGTGGGCAGCTATGTCTCGCCTCTCCACCTCTCTCCGTGTGCCCGGCGTGTCATAACCCGGCCTACTGCTATTTTTTCTCCTATTACCTGGTATTTCTTACAGAGTAGACTCCTCCTCGTGTTCTCAGGCATTTGATGTCTTAATTCCATACCATACAACTTTTTTTTTCTTTAAATTTTTTTTAATGCTTATTTTTGAGAGAGAGAGAGAGAGAGAGCGGGCACACGCACGAGGTGGGGGTGGGTACAGAGAGAGAGGGAGACACAGAATCTGAAGAGAGAGAGAGAGTGGGCACGAGTGGGGGAGGGGCAGAGAGAGAGGAAGACCCAGAATCCAAAGCAGGCTCCTGGCTCTGTGCTGACAGAGCGGGGCCCAGACTCACGAGCTGTGAGATCATGACCTGAGCCAATGTCAGACGCTTAACTGACTGAGCCCCCCAGGCGCCCCTCACCTTTCCAGCACTTTCGAACCTCAGTGCTTTGCACTGCCTGATGTGGTCCTTAACCCACGGTTAATTGGCCTCTGACCTCACAGGAATAAGGAAGGCCTCCACAATGCCAAAGAAATCCTGACCCGCCTGGGAGTGGAGCCATCTGATGACGACTGTATTTCAGTCCAGCACGTGTGTACCATTGTCTCATTTCGCTCTGCCAACCTGGTGGCTGCAACGCTGGGCGCCATCTTGAACCGCCTTCGAGATAACAAGGGCACACCCAGGCTGCGGACCACGGTTGGTGTCGACGGGTCTCTTTACAAGACGCACCCACAGTGAGTCTGCCCTTTGCTATCATTGGTGCTCAGTGCCCACCTGGGCTAAGGACCTCCTCCAAAGGTCAGACTTTTGCACCCAGTGAAGGTTTTTGGCATACAAGAGTGTATCTAGTTCTGGGCAGGAAGGTCAGAATTGCCCACTTGAGAAGTATCTGGCCCTCAGCCCGTTCTCCTGGTGTTGCTTCTGGACTGTCAAGTCTCATTTCATAAGTCTTTTTGGGGATTTCTGTAGCTGCCAGCAGCGCTGGGTGGAACATGTCTGTATCTTAAATCCTCTTGCTTACTCATATTTCGTCAACAACCTTCATCCTCACTGTAGCTCGGGTCAAGGGTGCAATGCCCACATTCTTGTTTTAGAGGCTCCTGTGAAAGGCCCCCCCCCCACCCCTCAGACGTGCCTTTTTTAAACGGGCAGCTTGTTGACATTTTGCATCTGAGAGCGGAGAGCCGGAGGGAGCTAGAAGTTGTAAATGGCCCCTGTTGACGATGAGGGGCAGTCACCGTGCTGCCTCCTGGTGTAGTGAACGCCTTAGCTGCAGAAGCCTTTTGTGGTACCACGAACACGGCTTGCACATTTTTTAAAGGCTAAAGGTGAAATTCTGCGTCTATAATTATAGACTAGCTTTTAACAACAGCTCCCTTTGACGTGAGTTTCGCGCAGGACCTCAGGTACTTGGCCACCATATATACGAAGCGTACATAGAGTGGCCTTGTGACGCCCTCACTCCAGTTCTAGCGGGCGCTGAATAATAAACGTTGACTTAAATGGAAATCATTGTCACGAGGGGGCAGGGTTTGAGCTAGTCAGATGCTATTGTCCGTTAGGTTCGTAGTTTTATTCCTTCGTATTTTTAAAGTATTTGTAAAATTTTCGATAATGGAGCTAGCTATCATTTTTTTGGGGGGGGTGGGTGGTTTCTCGGCAAATGTATGGACAAGAAAGCTTAGGGATTTGTAACATCACATTAAAAAAAATTTGTTTTTAATCGTGGGAAAATACACAATCTAGAATTTACTATCTTAACCGCTTTTGAGCATACAGTTCAGAAGTGTTAAGTACATTCCCACTATTGGACGACCAGCCCCACCAGCCACCCCCAGAACTCGTCACTGACAGGGTCACCTTTTAATTTTTTTTCTTTTAACGTTTATTTATTTTTTGAGACAGAGAGAGACAGAGCATGAACGGGGGGAGGGTCAGAGAGAAAGAGGGAGACACAGAATCCGAAACAGGCTCCAGGCTCTGAGCGGTCAGCACAGAGCCCGACGCAGGGCTCGAACTCACGACTGTGAGATCATGACCTGAGTTGAAGTCAGACGCTTAACCGACTGAGCCACCCAGGTGCCCCCAGGGTCACCTTTTAAACGATAATGTTGATTAAATGCGTTTTGTTTTAGGAGTATCGTCTATTTGGTACACAGAAACGTTAGATAGTTCATAAAATGACAAAGAGAGTAGAAGTTACGTTTAGTCCTGCCCCTTGGCATTGATCACTGCTAATATTTGGGGTTCTGGTTTCCCTGTTTCCCTTGGCAGGCAGCCTTCCATCCTGATGACCGACCATAAATTTTGCGGAGGCTGTGTCTCATTGAGTCCTGTCCTAAAGTCCTCCTCTAGCCAATAGAGAATGTCCAGACCCTTGGGGGCAGAGGGAAAGGGCAGGTGAAAATAAAAAAAAAAAAGAG